GGGGATGGTGGGGGAGGGATGTATGGTGGTATGGGGGGTGGTATGATATATCATCCACAAGGTCATCAGATGTATGGTAGTCATGGGTCATATCATCATATGGGTATGGGCGGCGGCGGCGGTGGCGGTGGTGGTGGTGGAGGTTCACGGCCAAGGTAGGCGGTGGAAGGAGATGAAACTTTGGACATTAATCAAATTAATCATATGATGTATCATTGTGTTGATAGCTACTTTTCTCTATTACTTTAGGTCCTTTTTAATTATTTTTTTTGCCTTTTTTTTTTGGAAGCACATTGACATGTGGAGTTTTAGATATGCTTTATTATAGCTTTTCTTTTGATGTTGGAGTATTAGTGGGTTACATGTGTAGTACTTTGTGGAAAGGGTAACGAGAGGATAAAGTAGTACATGATATAACCTTCAATGAAAGGCACTTTGGATATATATGTATTTAATGGGAAATTGAGATGGTATATTGTGTTATCTTTTTACTTGTATTTCTTTATTTTTCGCTTCTTCTTGTTGTTGAATTTGCTTTTGCAACTTGCCACCACAAAACCTTCCCAAACCCCATCTTTAATCTAGTGGCAAATTCAACTATATATGTTTGCGAGTTCGATAGGACTTGGTGTTTTTTAGTGGAATTGTTTATATATGTGCGCCAAAATACAAGTATTGGTAAATCTAGATACACATTTAAGGATTCATTTTCCCGACTCAAAATTCATTCGTCTAAAATCTGAATTTGTCTTTCTTTTTTGTTTTTGAATGTCTTCAAAGTGATTGTAACAACAACCCAATATAACGGTACAAGTGAAGTCGGTACAAGTGAAGTCAGGGAAGACAGTGTGTATTACAGACCTTATCTTTAATCTGAGAAGAAATGTCCTCAGAGATACAATCTATCACTATTATAACATCTTGAAAAATGAGCAAAATGATTAAATTTATTGTCTCGAATATCGACTAAAAAATTAAAGCGTTTATATTCTAAATCTTTTACCGTGGTAATATCTTAAGAAACTAACAAAAAGATTAGTGGAATTTTGAATACCAAAAGCACTTAGAACCCGTTTGACCATAGATTTTGCTAAAATAAATTTGGGTTTTATTTGACAAATACATGTTTGGCCATAAATTTTGCCTACATTTTGACAAAATTTCAAATCTCAAAACCAGCTCAGTAGCTGGTTTTGGGCCAAAATATCACTATTATATTTTTTAAAAAATTACCCCAAACTTTTGTATTTTATAAAAGAGCTCACCATTTATTATTTTGTAATAATGTTATTTCGTCTTCTCGGTTACCTGATAGTGTATCATGTAGTTTATTATAAAAATGATAATTTTGTATCAAATTTATTTATGTTCAGGGCTATGGTTTGCGATAATATAATAAATATTATTGATAATGGTACTGTTAGATATTTGTGATAGTTTTTAGAACTTGTGGTATAAGTCATGTTTCATATTTTTCTAAAATAAATTTAGAAAATATATTTTAAAAACTGATGTCCAAACACATTTTTATCTTCAAACCAAACTCCATCCAAATTAAATTTTTCGGAACAAATTTGCCAAACGCTAGTTTAGATTTGGTGATGTTGAAAGGAGCAGCAGTTAGGTTTTTCAGTTATAGAGTAGTTAAGGGAAGAGTAAATTTTGTGAAGCGACTGCTGCTAGACATTTGCCGCAAATGTCTATTATGGATAGCATAAAGAATAGGATATTTGCGTGTTCTGCCATTTGTCTTACCATCACCCCCTTTCCCTAGGAGAAAAAAGGATAAACACTTTGAGGTACTACTTTCATAATAGTGTTCCTATTTATTTATGCATGTCCAATCATAATTTGACTAAAAGAATTTTTTTTTAAAATTTGTGATCTTAAAAGTTTAAGGGGTAAAAATTTTGTGGGACCATAATATTTATATGATTATAAAAATTTCTCATTAAATGTCGAATTTGTAAAATAGAGAGTTTAAAATTGAATTATTTCTAAATTTAGAAATATATCAATTATTTTGGAACAAACTAAAAATGAATGTACCTCATCTAATTTGAAACGGAGAGAGTAGTTTTTTATTCGGTGTTCAGTATCGATTTTGGGACCCGATTAATTCATACTTATATGAGAAAATTTTATTTGGAGAGTAAAGTGTTTTGACATGTTTTTTTTATCAAGATTTCATATTAGGGCTCGACCCCGAGATCTCTAATTGAGAATGGAGGAGTATTTACTACTTTATCACAAGCTTAATGTGGTGGTCCCATCTGGCAAGGGCGAAAAGGGCGGTGATCAATTGATCACTTCTCGCCAAAAAATACATTATGTATATAAATAAAATATTATTTTACAGTTATATAACATATATTGAACACTCTTTATCGATAAGTTATTCACTTATATATTGATTTTTCCCTAAAGAAATCCCTGTGTGCCAAAGGAGTGAGTAAGCATTTGGTTTGGATATATAGGTGTATTTTTATTTACTTTTACTTAAACCTGTCAAACGGGTCGGGTTGGCCCGGTTCCGGCCCGACCCGACCCGGTAGTAAGGGGCCGGGCAGGGTGATGTTTGGCATATTTCGATATGTGTTGATGTTACTTTACCCATGTTTTAACCACTTC